GGGCCGAGAGAGCTCTTCAGGCCCCCCCGGAGCAGCCCCCCTCTGTACAGAGGGTTGAGGGAGAGGCCACGGGAGGAAGAGCTGCGGAGACATGGAGGTATGTCACTCACAGGAGGAGGAGGCCAGCACGGCCTCCTCCTTCTCCTGGCACCAATCTGGACCCGGGAAACAGGTTCTCTCCACTTGGGGAGGCTGGGGCTGATGAGGCCTCGGGGGACCAGCAGGACCCCCAGCCTGAGACGTCAGGCGGCAAGGGGGCCGCTGCAGGAGAGGCGAGGGCCAGGGCATGGCCGCCCACCAGCACCGGAAAGGTACAGAGGCGGGTGATTGTTGTTGGGGACTCCCTGCTGAGGGGCACTGAGCCGGCGGTGTGCCGCCCCAACCTGGAGACAAGGGAGGTTTGCTGCCTGCCGGGCGCATGTATCCGGCATGTGATGGACAGAGTGGAGCATCTTGTTCGCTCCGGGGGTCACCAACCGCTCCTGGTGATCCATGTGGGCACAAACGATGTGGCCAGGCAGGATGTGGTTGGGACCACCAGGGACTTTGAGGCCTTGGGGAAGACACTCAGGGAGCTGAAGGCCCAAGTGGCCTTCTCGTCAATCTTACCTGTCCAGGGATTTGGGCCAGGAAGGGACAGGAGAGCTCCAAGGTGAACGACTGGCTTAGGGTGTGGTGCCAGAAGGAACGCTTTGGGTTCCTCGACCACGGCACTCGTTTTCTTGCCAATGGACTTCTGGCAAGAGACAGGTTACACCTCACGAGGATGGGGAAAAGGTCCTTTGGAGATGCTCTAGCGAGCTTCGTCCAGAAGACTTTAAACTGAGCCGGGGGGGGGGGCGGTTCAGGCCCCCCAGGAACGTGTCTGCACTGGACAAGTGTGGGGAGAGGATCAGGGCTCTGGGAGCCCTGGGTTTTAGAGATACTGCAGTGACAGGCAGGACTCCTTCAGAGAGGGGCCAGGTATTAGGGAGGATGGGAGGAAGGAGGAGGCTGGGAACTCCAAGGAAAGGAAGCGGTGGGAAGGAGTTGAGGTGCATGTACACCAATGCTAGGAGCATGGGTAATAAGCAGGAAGAGCTTGAAGCTCTCCTGGGAATAGGAGGGTATGATCTGGTGGGAATCATAGAAACTTGGTGGGATGAAAGGCAAGTCTGGAATGTGAACATAGAAGGGTATCACCTTTTTAGAAAGGACAGGAAGGGAAAGAGAGGTGGGGGCGTGGCTTTATATGTCAGGAAAGGAATAGGATGCAGTGAGATAGAATGCAGCACAGATGGGGATTTGGTAGAGGCAGGCTGGGTGAAACTTAGGGGTTTTGACAGGGAAAGACATCTGACAGTGGGGGTATGTTATTGCCCTCCAGGTCAACTTGAGACCCTGGATGATGTCCTGACAGGCCAGATTCTAAGGATATCTCAGGGGAGAGACACAGTAATTATGGGAGATTTCAATCTCCCGGATATTACTTGGGAGACTCACTCGGCGGTGACAGCCAGGTCACGTCGCTTCCTAGAAGCTATAGAGGGAGCGTTTTTCACACAGAGGGTCCGAGAGGCGACGAGGGGGGGAAACATCCTTGACTTGGTCTTGACCAATAGGGAGGAGCTGATAGATGAAGTACAGATTAGGGGAGCTCTGGATGCGAGTGATCACTCCATCCTTTGCTTTGAGATCAGGGGACTGCGGACGGGCAGCAGGTCGAGCACTAGAAGCTGGGACTTCAAGAGGGCCAACTTTGGCCAACTAAAGGCCAGACTGGGGAAAGTCTCCTGGGATAGGTTACTGGAAGGTAAGCGAGTTGAGGAGGGGTGGATAGCACTCAAAAGGGAGGTTTTGGAGGCGCAACCCTTGATGATACCTCTAGTCAGTAAGGTGGGGAGGCGGAGGAGAGCGCCGCCATGGATGCGAAAGGAGGTGGTTAGAGGGATTAGACGAAAGAGGAACCTCTGTAGGAAATGGGTACTGGGGGAAATAGGCAAAAGGGTGTACCAGGAGGAGGAGGCCCGTTGCAGAAGTATTCTTTGCAAGGCTAAGGCTAATTACGAGCTGAGACTTGCCAAGAATATCAAGAGCAACAAAAATGGCTTCTTTCAGCATGTAAATAGGAAGAGGAAGGGGAGACAAGTGGTGGGACCACTAAATAAGGAGGAAGGAGATCCAGTGACTGATATGAGGGAACAGGCACAGATGCTAAATGACTATTTTGCCTCTGTTCTCCCCAAAGCAGGATGGGGGATATCCGCATAGGAGATTAGATGAGGCTGGGGACTTAGGGGCACTGGTTAGAGTCACCCCCCTTGAAGTCGAGGGGCTCCTCAGGGCATTGGACATTACAAAGGCGCCAGGCCCTGACGGGTTACACCCGAGAGTACTTAGAGAGTTGGCAGGGGTTCTCTCACGCCCGCTGGCCTCCATTTTTGAGACCTCGTGGAGAACGGGTGAAGTTTCAGAGGACTGGAGGGTGGCATCAGTGGTCCCAATTTTCAAAAAGAGTAGTAGAAAGGACATGGGGAATTATAGACCAGTTAGCCTTACGTCCATTGTAGGAAAAACAATGGAAAGGCTCATAATAGAGAGAGATCTAGTGATGCTAGATAGGGAAGGGAGGCTGACAGCCACACAACACGGCTTCCACAAAAACAGGTCCTGCCAGTCAAACCTTGTGGAATTCTATGACAAGGTTTTGTGATGGCTAGATGGAGGGGATGCGGTGGATGTGGTATACCTGGATTCCAGCAAGGCCTTTGACAAAGTGCCCCATGATATCCTGGTGGAGAAACTGAGGAGTTTTGGGATACACCAAAGCACTGTCCAGTGGATTAGGGCATGGTTGACTGACCGAAAGCAGAAGGTAACCATTAATGGGGAATCATTGGGATGGCGGCCAGTGACAAGCGGGGTCCCCCAGGGCTCTGTCCTGGGGCCGATCCTGTTTAATCTTTTCATTAATGACATGGAAGAAGGGGTGAACAGTCTGCTGATCAAATTTGCAGACGACACTAAAACTGGAGCAGTGGCCACAACTGAGGAGCAGGTACTCCAGATCCAAAAGGATCTGGACAGACTATGGAAGTGGGCAGGAGACAACAGGATGGCGTTCAATGTGGATAAGTGCAAGGTCTTGCACTTGGGGCATAGGAATAGCTGTCATAAGTACAGGTTAGGTGACAAGTGGCTGGAGAGCAGCACTTGTGAAAGGGACCTCGGGGTACTGGTTGACTGCAGGCTAAACATGAGTCAGCAGTGTGATGCGGTGGTCAAGAGGGCGAACGCCACCCTTGGTTGCATAGCCAGAAGTGTGGCTTCTAGATCGAGAGAGGTATTACTACCACTCTACATGACTCTGGTGTGCCCGCAACTGGAGTATTGTGTTCAGTTTTGGGCCCCTCATTACAGAAAGGATATAGTCAGGTTAGAGTCAGTGCAGCGTAGGGCCACAAGGTTGGTGGCCGGTTTGCAGGGGATGGGCTATGAGGCGAGACTGAGGGAACTGGGTCTCTTCAGCCTGGAGGAGACTCAGAGGGGATATGTTGGCGACATACAGGTATGTGAGGGGATGTCATATGGAGATGGGTAGAGACCTGTTCTCCCCTGCAGAGGAAGGCAGGACACGCTTCAACAAAGCAAAGCTCAGGGAGCCAAGGTTCCATTTGGATGCCAGGAAGCATTTCCTGACAGTCAGGACCCCAAGGGTGTGGAATGGGCTTCCCCAGGAGGTGGTTGAGGCCCCATCGGTGCGGGTGTTCAAGGATAGGCTGGATGTCCACGCCCATGACACGGTGGGCGTGTCATGAGCAGAGCTGGCTAGAACCGGGGGTCAGACTAGATGGCCGAGAGGCCCCTTCTGACTCGCTCTGTTTTCTATGTTTCTGTTTCTATCTGAGAGTACATTCTTGCAGGGTGCTAATCTGGGACGTCCTGACACCACCAATCTGAATGGCTTTAAAAATGGATTGGCCAGATTCATGGGGGAGGAGACTATGAGTGGCTACTAGTCCTGCTGACTTTGTGCCACCTCCTTTACCAGAGGTGGCCTGCCTGCATACACCCATTGCTGAGGAGCTTGGGCAGGAGGAGGTCCTGCACCCATCCTGCTTGAGGGATCCTGTGGGCAGCTGGTTTGCCACTTTGAGCACAGAGTACTGGAGTAGATGGACCTATGATCTGACCCGGCATGGCCTTGCTCATGTTCTTATGGTCTTGTGTCCTACGGGAAGACCAATTGCTATGTTGACTGCATTGCTCTCAGAAACAAAGAATCCCCACCACCACCACTTGGCCGATTCTGCTCTGTAGATGCGATTGGAGGATTGCCTGTGTGTGTGCGATACTCACTTGCAGAATGATTGTTGCAGAGATGCTGTTCAAGCTGACTGAATAATTCATCTGTGTGAATAAATACCCTTTATGTGTTGCATGGTTTTGCTGACTCAGGGTAAGTCAGCCTTGCCCGAGCTTCATCCAATTTGCTCATTTAAAGAAATGCCCAGGCTTCCTTCTTCCTGTTTTTGGCTGGGACAGCTGATCCTGGGATTACTGGCACCCCCTGCCCTTGGTCACACAGTATGGGTGTGATGTATTTGTTGTGCTTACATGTACAGTTTACCAATGAAGCGAGCTCATAGTAACTCATTCATCCAAGCAAAATTAAAAGCTGTTCTTGACAGCAGAGGCTTATTCCAAGCCAAGCAGTTGGGTTTGGTTTGTGGTCCTTGCAGAAGCCTTGAAGAAATCATGGACTGGCAGCACTGCTGTCTGAAAGTAGGTCAGCTGGGTCATGCAGTCTTTTTATTCACCTTCCTCTATCTGCTGATTTCATGTGTGAAATCCACCTTTGGTTAAGCTAGCCCCAGAACGCCACTTCTTTTGCTCCATTCAATGTTTTTGTGCATGGGGCCTTCAAGGGAGCCCTTGATAGACATATAAATTCTGTTAGGGGATGCACACAATCTTTTTCCAGTCGCAAAACAGAAAAAAGAAAAAGAAAAGAAAAGGAAGGCTGTTTATCTCAGGCATGGCACTCCCGAGATGCCAAACTTTACTTTTATACAATGTCTTCTATTGATAGGAAATAGGAAATAATAGCTTTCAGTTGTATGATCCTTGGGGAATCAAGTCATCTTCTTTGCTTCCAGTATTCTGTAAAGAGATACATCATTGTACATCATTGCAGATGATCATTTGCTGCTGCTCTTTACTGCTTTTTGCACTGTTGATATATTGCTATTATAGTGTTTAACAGTGCAATCCTATGGCTCCTAGAAAGGGTCCAGATGGCCACAGGATTTTTTCAGATTCCCTGCTCCAAGGCTGAAAAAGCACTCTGATCACAGAAGTGGGGAGCCACACTTGGTCCTCCTCCCCCTACAGCTGGTACAGCAAGAACTGTGCCAGCTGCCTCTCTGAGGTCACAAAAGCAACCTTGGAAAAGGTGATTAGGGGATGTTCTGGGGGGTGGGGGAAGAAGAGCAGACTAGTGCTGCTAGAATACCCTGTATCCTGGTAGTGCTACAGCCTCCTTCCCTTCTTCTCTGGAGCACTGTAGTTCAAGAGCTGAAATCAGTCATCCAGCTGTTTTGCAGGGCAAGAGTGCGGAGGTTACCTGAGCCTCCAAGCTTGCCCTGGTCTACATAGGATGCCCATAACCATCCAGGTTTGGAGGGTTATGCATATCTCCATTGGTCTGTACTCTACATTGTTTCTAATAGCATATTTGTAACCTATTGGTTTTGTTGAAGCTGGGATGGATTTTATTACTGTTTTTATTTAAAGGTGGATTTCAGTATTGGTATGTGAACTGTTTGGAGATTTTTAACATTAAGTGGAATATGTTACTAATACAATAAAAGTTCACTTCTGGTTAACCCAACTTTTCTTCATTTCATCAGCCTCATTCAGAAGGGAAGAAATATGTGGCTGCTATTGTTAAGCACTTACGAGTCAGAAACCTTTACTGGAAATCACAAAATCTTCTAACAGATCCTGATTTACCTTCTGCCCATCCTCTCTTGTGTGGTATGGTGGTTAGAACGTGGGGCTGAGAACCCAGAAGATCCAGGTTCTAGTCCCCACTCAACTATGAATCTCACTGGGTGACCTTGGGCCAATCACTCTCCCTCAGCTTAACCTGCCTCACAGGGTTGCTGTGAAGGTAAATGGAGAGGAAGGGTGCATGTAAGCTGCCTTGCATTCCTTGCAATTTAGGTAGGCTCTAAATGTAACAGTGATGATGATGGAATGTGAGGGAGTGTCACACAGAGGTGGGTTGTGACCATTTTCCCCCTGCGGTGGAGGGCAGGACACAGTCCAGTGGAGCAAAACTCAGGGAGCCAAGGCTCAATTTGGATGCCAGGAAGGACTTCCTGACAGTTAGGACCCCGAGGGCATGGAATGGGCTCCCACAGGAGGTGGTTGAAGTCCCAGTGCTGAGGGTGTTTAAGGGTAAGCATGTCATGAGTGGAGCTGGCAGGAGCCAGGGGTCAGACTAGATGGCCCAGGAGACCCCTTCTAACTTGCTCCATTTCTGTGTTTCTGTGATGAAATAAATGAACACTCACAGAATGATGTGGCCACATGAAAGAAGCAGGGGGCCTGAGAGGTCTCAAAACATATTGAGTAGCTATTCTGACTTGATTTCCTTCTTTTTTTGGGCAGGCGGGGGGTGCACAAAATGATGGAAGAAGCAAGGCAAAAAACAGGCAGGCTATGAAATGAAGACAATATCTAGGCTCCCCATAAAATTCCAGGAATGAGGTAAGGGATGCTCCCATAAAAGTCCCATCCAGCAACACTCTGAATCTATACTCTGCCTATTGACTCGTATTATTTGCTACCCTTTTATCTCTTTCTTTCTTCAAGGAATTCTGGGAAGAGTCCACGTCTTTCCTTTTATCCTCAAAACAACCCTGTGAGGTGGGTCTGATTGAGATAAGACCACCCAGGGAGAGGCCCGAGCCTGTCCAGTTCTGTCCCAGCATTCTAACTGCAAGGACACACTGATCCGGAGGATTAAGGCTGAGTGCAATGGCTGGGGCCTCAGGACCCCGTATGTCAGTCCTCTTTCCCCCTTTTACAGGAAATTCTATCTGTGACCCTCAACCCCGGAGAGAGAATGACGGCTGTTCTGCCCGCCCCCCGCTCCCCCCCCCCCAGGGAATGCCTCCAGAGAGGGGGCGAGAGAGAGAGATTGAGAGAGAATTTAAGGGCCAATGCAGGCATCCTAAATCACTTGCATCATCCTGGCCAGCCCTCTGCGGCACCCAGGATTTTCTGCAATATGTGAGGATGGGGGAGGGCATTCCCTTGGCAAGCGAGTCAGAACTAGACGCGTCCGGATGGCGCTGCTTCAAAGGGTGCCGTGTGCCAGCCCAGGCCTCTCTTTTTCGAGCGGAGGAAGCTGGCGAGCAGCACGGAGGAGCGCGGCCTGCCATAAATCTGCTTTCATACGGAATTACCAGTGGCAAGGGACCGCACTAAATCCAGGGTAAAGGAAGTAAGCGCACTCAGCCAAAGAGCATTTTGGAGCCATCCCAGTGTCTTAGTCGCACTTAAATTAATGGAAGAGCGAGGGAGGGAGGACGGCAAGCACGCCGGCCCCACCCTTCGCAGCCAGAAATCAATATGGAAGATTTACTTTGCGCTGCTCTGTGCATCAGCGGTGCTGGCTTGCCCGGTTGGCGGGGTGTGCGGGGGGGTGGGGGAGAGATTCCTGTTTCTAATACAAGCTCATCCTTCCTTAGTGCTCTTTGCAGAGTCAAGGCAAGGTTAAGCCAAGCGCTAAGAGATTTAAGGAGTTTGCATTTTTATCCTACATTAAACTGCTCCTGGCCTCACCTCTTCCAGCTCCCGATTAGCGTTTTACAATCTAAACTTGTCCACAAGCTCCGCCCCCTCCCCCGCCCGCACCGCCTCGCCTCGCCTCGCCTCGCCTCGGTGTACCTTCAGGGGGAAGACACAGCTGCTTTGACGGAGTAGGCTATTTTTTTCCCTGCCCTGCCTTCCACCTCTCTGTCGCTTTCGAAGGGTTTTGAGTTCTTTCAGTGAGGGGCCATGTGAAGGGTAGAGCGGCTCAGCCGAGAGCTGCCCACAGGAATTCATGAGATCAAAGCCTTCAACAACACCAGCTGAAAAGAGAAGGAAAAACAAGAGAGCCCAGGAGAAGAATGTATGAGGAGGAGCACCTTGTGAGAAGAACTGTATGAACATGTCAGATGTGTTTTAGCTATTTATTTTGAGACATCTGCTCTAGCACAGTTTTATTTCCAGCCTTTCTCCATCAAAGAAGCCTTTTTGCAATGGCCTCCTGCCAGATGTCTAACAGGGGACCCCTGTGCATTGCTCAGGATTCCAGGGCAAATTTCAGGGTGTACATTCAGTGGATGCAGGACCCTGGCCGGACCTCTGTTCTGGCTGCACTTCAGCATTGCCCTGAGGGGATGAGCACACACTCTAGAAAACACCCATACTTTTCCTGCCTTTGGCCCCAGCTGATACTTCCCCTCCGCCCCCGCTTTAGAAACATCACATCAGCAGCACAGTCCACGCCCAGAAGTGGCAATGTGCAAACACAGCCTATTTATAATGTGTTCCGTATCAGACCAGACAGCCCCAAACCGCACACAGTCACACACTAGCACCAGAGCTTTAAAAGCCTGCATCTCCAAAATGATAAGAGCGATCTGAACCATTGTTATGGGTTATGTCTGCATCCCTTCCTTGATTTAAAAATTGCACCAGAGGGAGGCCAGACTTGGTCTGATGCATTTTGCTGCCCAAGGCAAGGACACGCAGGTATCACCCCCACCTCTGCCCAATGCACATAACTGTGCCTGTAGCTGAAACTTTCTCCCACAAGGGAGACACAACCATCCACTGCCACATCTGGGAGCAATAGGCTCACTTGCAATGCATTGGGCAGGCTGCACAGCACACCAGCTCTCTCCTAAGTCACTGTCATTTCCTGACACTGCCTTCCTACCCCAGCATCTGCCACCTAAAGCAACTGTCAGACTCTGCTTAAGGATAGGAATAGACGCACACAGTCCAGCATTTCTCTCTTCAACAGCAGCTGGTCAGAGCCTTTGAAAAGGAGAGCGCTCTTACCCAGATCAATGTCAGTGGTATACTTCCTGCGAACCGAATGGTTCTGTGCTTGGTTATCATGGCTGAGTTGCTGATAGACCTGTCCTCCTAAACTATGGGTTACCCTGCCTAAGAGACTAAATGGTGGAACAGAAAGTCCTGGGTTTTAGGACCCACGTCCCGCCACAATTAACAGCAAGGTAGATTCAGACCTCACTCACCACTCCATATATACTTTGTTAACAGGGATGTTGTAAAGATTACAAGATAATACATGTGAAGTGCTTTGAACACTCAAAAGCACTAGAAATACAAATGCATATAGACAATAGAGATATCGGTTCTGCACACACCCCCAGTGGCCACACCCAGAGTTTGGAGTTCTGCCTTAGCTCCTTTTGGATGGCCTTCTGGCGCAGTGTGAAGCAGGACTGCCATGTCTTCTACAGAGGGCAGTCCTCTGTTTGAAGAAGTCCTCTATTTCAAGCACTGTCCTGCGACTTCCAGTTCAGAGATAAAGAACCATTGCTCATCAGCTCAAAATCTACAAAATGCATCAAACAAGCATCAGAAAATGTCAGTATCAAAACCAACCCCCCAGAATGTCCAAAACCAGGAATTCATGATTCCTGCCCCCACCCCCACACTTATACTTCAGACTCGGAGAAAGTGAAGTTGCCTTAACATATTCATAACAAGGAGGGGGGAAATCAGCTGAAGGACTTTCCAAAGAGCAAGGTTTGAGGCAAACAGAGATGATCAGAGCTTGGGGAATCTGAACCAAGAGGCCATTCCATGGGGCTGGTGCCACAATTAAAAAGGTGCTACTCCTCCTCGACAGCTGATGGGCCGCACATGGCCAGGGAATCAGGATCGGGGCCTCTGAAGGTGAACAGAGCACTTTGGCAGGGACATCTTGAAGAGGCCTGTCCTTATGGTACCCACTATTAAGAACTTGAAAGGCTACAATCAACACTATGAATCAGACCCAGAAACAGACTAGGCAAGTAACATTGGTTATCTAGACTTGGGGCATTTACAGCTTCCATTTCCTAACACTGTTCATGTTTATCTGTCCATTCCTCTTTTCAGGTAACTTTCAGCATCAGGGTATTGGCAGCACACAATCGGGCACCAGTCCCACTGGCAGTGCGTCCTGGTGACCTGTCTCCTGGAGTGCACATCCTCTGTTTCCCATCCCCCACTCCCCACATGCCTTTCTGGCTGATGAGCCTGACACAGATAACGAGTGTTATGCAGCAACAGCTGCAGACAGCTTCCCATCCATCTATTTCTAGAGCAGCGTGTTACGTGCCAGGCTGTATATATATTTAACTTCAGATGCTTTAATCTGAAGGGAGTCAGGAAATACGAGCAATGAAGGCTCTTATTGTGGAAGGCTGGAATGTACTGGAATGTTGACATTGTCAAGCCAGGGGCCCTCGCAATGGAAGGTAATGCTGACCTCACTGTCTCACATTCACTTTTGCCTGCCTGCCTCCAGAGAATGCAGCTTTACCGCCAGTAACCCTTTGATGCCCGACTAGGGTTCTCTCCCTCACTCTCTGTTTTCTGCCACAGGAACCAAGATTTTGAAATCCTCTTTTCCAGTTTAAGAGAAATTGTGCTTTTGGCTGCCTTAGCATCCAATGTTTTTCTGGGTGGGAAAATTCCCTGCCCGGTCTTGCTGTCCTATCAGAGCAAGGAAGAGAGATTGCCTAATTGCTAATGATTTCATTCCTTTATTTGTTTACACTTTATCAGAAAGTGTAATGTTTATATTGCACATCACCCTGGGCGCCTGCTGAACAGGGGGGTGATTTGATCAACCAATAAGCAATACATTTCCTGCCCAGTCCTGTAACTCTGGGCCTAAAAGGGGCTGCAGATACTTCTCTGGCCTGCCAGGTGGCTCTCCTAACACAAACATACATTGTGATGTCATCAAGTTTTCTATGTGATTCTTGACTGGGTGGAATCACGGTGTGATTCCAGCCTAGGAAGGAGGAAGACAGCGCAACCAGGGTGAGGGTAGGTTAGTGTCTGAGAAAGGAGGAGCCAGGCAGGACAGCCATTCTGAATGACATCCAAAGAAACAGATCAGGCAGGTAACGTTTCCTTCTTGCTTAGCAGCATGGCAGGACAGCAAGCGACACAAGATGAAGAGCAAGTCATAGTCTTTCCGACCAAGAAATGACCACTTGCTTGGGCCATGTGATGGCTGTTTCTGAATTTGTTTTCTCATCATCGACAGCCTCTCATCATAATCCAGTTGGACTGGAATTCCTTCTCACTAGTTTCTGACCAGCCACTAGAGTGTGACAGAATTCTGGGAATGCTGGAGAAAAAGGTTGAAAAGTGGCTTTTCTGGGGACAAAAAGACTGACCTTACCTATGCATCTTTTTACAGTCCCCATCTTCATTTTCAGATTGAAATGGCCAATTTTATTTGCAAATGGTCGTGGTTAGCCTTCTTATTTTGATAAGAGAAAGGGCAGTATCCAGTGGAACACAATTGCTAGTGTAAATGCCATGGTGATGGCATCAACTCTTTCCAGTGCGAAGCCAGTAGTATATGCCAGTGTGTTGAGTTTTCCAGGGAAACCCATTGCACAACACATTCTAATGGTCTTGCACTTCTAGTGCAAGTAACTTACACTAGCTCAACATCATTTACACTAGTAGTAGTGTCATGTTCGATATTCCCCAAAGACATCTGCACTTGACATAAATCAAAGAGGTATGTGGGTAGGTGTAAGAATGAGGCATGAAAACCAGGGAATGAAAATGAAAAGATCCAGGAGTAACACACACACATCCACTTCTGCACATTTACATGTTTGCAGAGCAAACATATGAGCCAGATATCTTCGATAAGACAGCCTAGGCACAAAACTCATGGTAGAGATGCACATGTTCCCTGCCTGAATGCTACATGCTCAGAAGGCAGGTGCACAATTTATCTGCTTGATCTAAAGCATCACTTCATTTCCCAAGAAGCAAGACAAGACTCTATTTTGAGGTACACCTGATGGGGAAGCTCTAGTATTATGTACAGATTTAGCACTCAATGACATCTGCCTGTAGATAGTGAGAAAACACAACAGGAAATATGAGGGTGCAAAAAAAAAGACAACTATCTCAAGGCTTTTCTTACATGAGCTGTGAAGCAGAATTTCACTGCAGTACTGGTGGCTTTTTCAAGCTAGACGAGAGATTAACAACAGGGGCCCCAGTGCTCTTTTGTGATAACAGCACTCTAAAAAATGCACTGGGATAGTTTTCGTTGTTGCGGTTTGGGTGTAACCCATCTGTTGAGCACAACAGCCACCACTACCTTCAAGCAAGTGTTGAGAGTTTCCCTGCAGAAAAGGACTTTGATTTGAGGTGCTCTGGCTCAGTAGGCTGCTGTGAAGAGGGATGGCTCACCCCACTTCCTGCTGAAAGCAAGACTGGGGGTACTGCTGGAACTAAGAGCCTTGTTCACCAAGGTCAGCCCAGGACAGTTTGTGGCCTGAGTCAAAGGACAAGATGGTGGCCAGCTCCATCTCTCCTTCCATGTGCAGAAGTTAACTGGTTAGACTGGCAGAAGTGGCAAAAATATCATAAAATGCCATAAAACCTTCTAGAAAGAAAGAAAGAAAGAAAGAAAGAAAGAAAGAAAGAAAGAAAGAAAGAAAGAAAGAAAGAAAGAAATTAGGAACAGCAAAAAATGCAGTTAAAAATAATTATATAAGAGAAAAACACCTGGTATGGGTGACCCCCTAAAATTCCTGTTCATCCAAGTCTATCTTTTAAAACCTTGGTAGAAAGGTTAACTTGGCACTGAAAAGATCACAATGTTGGTGCCCAGCAAGTCACAGTGGGGAGGTCGTTCCATAGATTGGGGGGGGGGGCACAGAAAAGACCCTCCTTCTTGTTGCTATTCTCCAAACCTCCCTTGGAGTTAGCACTTGAAGGGAGGCTGTAGATGTTAAGTGATGTTCAGGTTGCAGCTGAGATAGGTGTTTCTCCAAGTATTGTGGTCCCTAGCAGTATAAGC